GTCTCTGAACAAACCTGAGACCAAGATGAAGGAGTAAGAGATTGTATCACTTAATCAAGTCCAAGAGCAGAGATATAAATAGAAACAAGATCTCATTGCAGAACTCCATGGAAGGCAGCAAACCAAGTGAAACTCTTAGCAGAGAGCCAGCCAGCTTCATTACACACAGCAGACCATCTGGTTGTTTTACATTCCCATCTGCAGCTGGTCCATCTGTGAAAAATTTAGCTGCTCGCTCATTCCATTCTTCTCCTAACAAGTTTCCAGTACAGTCACTCCCAACTAGTTTAGTTGAGGATTCAATAGGTTCCACATCAAAATACAGATCCACCAAACCGATTCATTCACCTGATAATGTTAAAGCTTCAACAGCCTCAACCAATAGAAAGAACAGGAAAAAAGTGTAAAAACTTCAGAACAGACTGGAAAGCTTACAAACTCTGGTGGAAGATTTACGAGTGAAAAATCAAGCAGTGTCTTCAGTTATTGGAAATCAAGAAAAGAGGATACAGAAAGTGAAAGACCAGGACAAAAAATGCTATTGGAGCAATACATTGCTTGCCTATTCTTTTCTGAGGACCAATGCTCAGTTAATCGTGATGTTACTTATAATTAGTGCCATATGTGCTATTTTTTCTTGTTATGTAGATTTTAATAAACGGTATTCTGTAACAAAAAAAAAAGTCATGCTTCATCCTTCAGGAATGATACTTTTATTTGAGCAATGTTCAGTAGTTATTTTGTAATTTAACACTAGTGACAAAACACAAAACATACATGCAGTCATCTATCTATATCCATGAGCAAATGGTTCCAGGAATTCCTTTTTCTCAACACCAAAATCCTCAGATACTCACTGTGGTACGGGGTTTGTGTACAATGTACACATGTATACTTTAAATCATCTCTAAATGACTTAAAACACCTAATAGGATACAAATAGTGGAATTCAGAATTTCACAATTTTAGAATTTTTTCCATGTAAGGGTACTGACAAAGCAAGACACTATAATGAAATGTGCAGAAAGCTGGAGTCAGAAAATCAAAATGGCCAAACTCGTTCAGTGTTTCTTAAGCTGAAGGCGTTGAAAACCAAATTCAAGCCACGAGTGGCAATACTTAAGGATAGTTTGGGTAGAATGTTAAATGATCCAGGAAGTATCAAAAGAAGATGGAAAGAGTAAACAGAGTCACTGTATCAGAAGGAATTGGCTGACACAGAGGAATTTCATGAAATAATGTATGAGCAAGAGCCTATGGTGATAAAGGAGGAAGTTTAAGTTGCTCTGAAGGAATTGGATAAAAACAAGGCTCCAGGAGTTGATGGCATACCAATTGATTAATTTTAACACACAGATAATGCCCTGCATGTGCTCACTAAGTTGTGCCAGGAAATCTGGAGGACAGCCAGCTGGCCAACTGACTGGAAGAGATCGATATTTGTTCCCATTCCAAAGAAAGGTGACCCAACAGAGTGTGGAAATTATCAAACAATATCATTGATATCACATACAAGCAAGATTCTGCTGAAAATTATCCAAAAACATTTGGAACAATATGTTAACAGAGAACTGCCAGATGTGTAGGCTGGATTTAGAAGAGGTCATGTTGTAGTACTAGGGATATTATAGCTAATGTTAGATGGATCTTGGCAGAAAGCAGAGAATACCAGAAGAGTGTCTATCTGTGCTTCATTGACTATGCAAAGGCTTTTGACTGTGTGGATCACCACAAGCTGTGGCTGACTTTGAGAAGAATGGGAATCCCAGAACATTTGATTATGCTAATATGAAACCTATACTTGGACCAAGAGACAGTCATCAGAACAGAGCAGGGAGACACTGAATGTTTCAAAATCAGGAAGGGGGTCAGTCAGGGATGTATTTTGTCTCCATACCTTTTCCATCTGTATGCTGAACAGATCATCTGAGATGCTGGGCTGTATGAGGAGGAATGTGGCATCAGGATTGGTGGAAGAATCATCAACCTGCGTTATGCGGATGACACAGTCCTGCTTGCTGAAACTGGGGAGGACCTGAAGCGCTTGCTGCAGAAGGTAAAGAACCACAGTCTTCAGTATGGACTGAAGCTCAACATCAAGAACACAAAGATTCTCATAAAATAAAAAAAAATTTAAAAAAAAAGGGGGGGGGGAGCTCTGGTGGCTTAGTGGCAAGGAGCTGCAACTATAATCCCAGAGGTGCATGGTTTGAATCTACCAGATGCTCTGCCGGGGAAGGGGGGTCAATCTCCTCCTGTACCAGTCAGATCTGATTTGAC